AGCACCTCACAGATAGATAGGGGTGTTGAAAAGAATGATTACATGTAGTCATGTCTGTGGCCAGCAGTTAATGTCTCTGCACAGGATTACAGGGGAGCCCTCCTTTTCTTTTTTTAATGATTCTCTTGGGAATGAAAAAAAAAGCAGGTGCCTTTGTTAAGCATTTGTCTGTCCCCGTTACTGTCTCTGGCCAATTTTTCCCTCCAGCTTCACAAAACGTCATGGGTTCTATTCTCCAAGCACCACCATCCCCTTGGCTCTCCCTTCTCCCCTGGCCTCTTCCTCCCCCCCCCAATAGGTATCAGCTGCATCAGTATTAAAATCAAAATTCTGTCTCCCAAACCTTTTTCATGAGCACTAAACCCCAGCTCTCCTTGCTCCTTTTTCTGGATTTTGCAGCTTATGGCGCTCTGTTTGGTGATGAACTGAGGTTGATGGTGCTCCCATTTTATGTATGAGAGGAGGGAGTGTCAGCAGAAGCCTTACATTCTTTCTTTCAGCGAGACTTTGGCTTTATGATACAAAACTCTTTTTTTTTTTTGGCTGTGGAGCTTGAACTCAGGGCCTGGGCACTGTCCCTGAGCTTTTTTTTTTTTTGCTCAAGGGTACTGCTCTACCATTTTCAGCCACAGTACAACTTCTGGTTTTCTGGTGGTTAATCAGAGATGAGAGTCTCATGGCCTTTCCTGCCCAGGCTGGCTTGGAACCACAATCCTTAGATCTCAGTCTCCTGAGTAGCTAGAGTACAGATGTGAGCCACTGGTGCCTTTTAAATGAGTGATAGGGATTTGCTCTCTTGTTTCTGTTTTCTCTTAAGCTCATATAGTCCTTTCAAGGTTCCTCTACTGTAATCAAATGAAGGCTGAGTACAGCATCTCTAGCTAGTCTAATTCAGAGGTCACTTCATAGGCAAATTCTGCTTTCATGCTTCACTAACATGCATCTGACTCTACCTATTTCCTTATTTTTCTTCATCCCCACTCTTGTCTTGAACCAGGACTTTTAGTGTACAATGGAGACAGAGTGAGAGGATTGCTTTTGTGCCAGCGATTTCTATTCTTTGGCTATGTTACTTGGCTCAGTTGAGTCTGGGGACTCTAACTTTGGAAGGTGGCTTCCATGGTGAGCTCTGACTTGTGACAGAATTTCTGGGGTTTTTTTTGGGGGGGGTCTGGTGGGGGGCCTGAACTCTGGGTCTGGGCACTGTCCCTCAGCTCTTCAGATCAAGGCTAGTGCTCTACCACTTGAGCCACAGCGCCATTTCCGGCTTTTTTCTTTTTGCTTATGTGGTGCTGAGGAATCGAACCCAGGGCCTCAGGCATGCAAGGCACGCACTCTACCACTGAGCCACCTTCCCAGCCCCTTGTGACAGAATTTCTAAGTCACCATCTATAGCCACCAGCAGCCTACTTGCTGAAGACTTTCCTGGAAAGAACAGTCATCTTGGTTTTGACCAAGTTGGCAGCATTAGTATATAAGATCTAATGGCAAATAGGATCAGAGCTATCATATCTTGTAATTTGCCACATATAGGAAGATTAATGTCAGCTAGTGGTTTGGGACACAGCAAAGAGGTCTCTACATGAAGCTAAATCCACACATTGGGAATGGAAAAAGGACAAGGGAGATGAATTTAGCCATAGGTGATGGGATTCCATATTCTTGCCTTGTCCAATATGGTAGCCACCAGATTCACATGACTATGGAAATTTAAATAACTTATAATTAAGTATTTAATTTCTTGACCATACTAGCTACCTTTTAAGTGTATTAAAAATGGTGGCTAGTAGTCAAATGGCTGCCATATTGAATAGAATAGGTATGGAATGCTTCTGCTATGGTAGAAAGTTCTACTGGATTTCATTTTGTTTCATTGGATTTCTATTGGAATAGAAAAGATGGAAAAGTGAGAGTACAGGACAGGAAGTTCATTAGGGAAGCCCAGTCAGAGGGCAGTTAGCATGGGTAACCTAAGGCATAGTTACATTAGCTGAAGGAAGTACCAGCTTCATCTAGACCTCTAGGCCTTTGAGTCAGGGTGCAGTGGTTCTGTAAATTAACCCAAACTCTGTAACAAAAAAAAAAACAACAGAGATCAACCTGGCAGAAACCAGAGCTACCTGCTGTGTGGTCTTTAATTAAGGATAGTGGAAAGGTTAAGCTGGCATTTATTAAACAATTTCAACAAGGCTTTGCACCACACCATAAGTTCTGAACACATGTTATGGAAAGAACAAAATAACAAGGGAATAAGTGGAAATATACACTGAAGCGTAATCTTATTCTGGAGGTGGGAAATGGAGCCCAATGGAATGTGAGCACAACTGTTTTGTTTCAGAAACAAGCCAGCAGAGAAGGACAGGGAGAAATGGCACATTTCTATAAAGGAGCTCCTTAGAGACAGGCCCAAGGTCTATTTAATTAACATGTAAAACTACTGGGAAGAAAGAGACTACATAGGCACTCTCCAAGATTTATTAATGGCACACAATGCTTGACTGGTGATGGGAAAGATAATGGAAAGTTCTCATGAGCAGAGAAAGTAGCAGCTGAATATTGAGGAAGTGGGTCAAGCTACTGCTCATGACTTAGGAGAGAGGACCTAGGAGTTAGGATTGACCGTTTCCTGAAGGGTCAACCAAGATGGCTCCAGACGGAAAGGGAGGGAAAATCCTGTTGAGTTCTGGAGTTCCAGAGTTCTGGAGGCTGCAAACCTAAGATCAAGGTGCCAGCAGGTTAAGTGGCAATGTCTGTCTCCTGGTTCATAGACAGCACTATCTCATTGTATTTTTACATGGCCAAAGGGGCAAGGAAATCTCTGGAGTCTCTTTTATAGACACTGATATCTTGGGCTGCAAACATAGCTCAAGTAGTAGAGTACCTGTGTAGTAAGCTTGAGGCCCCAATTTCAAACCCTAGTATGGACAAATACAACAACCAAACTAACCAAGAACTGATCTCACTCATGAGGGCAGAGCTCTTCTGACCTAATCACCTACTAAAGACTCTACCTCCTAATTCTTTTCTTTGTGCATATGTGTGCCAATCCTGAGGCTTGAACTCAGGATGTGGGCACTGACCCTGAGCTGCTTTTGCTCCATGTATGTGCTCTGTCACTTGAGTCACAGCTCCACTTCTGGCTTTTTGGTATTTTACTACTCAGCTGTCTGAGTAGTCTATCTCCTAATTCTTGAGGGTTAAGATTTCAACATACATTTTTGGAGGGACACAAACATTCAGATCACAACACTGGAGGTTCCAAATAATAGTTTAAGATCTCTTAAAAAGTGATATATTGGTAAACAGGGTATATGTGTAGCTCTAGTCAATTCACTTTTGAAAGAGCTGATTTTTATATAGACGTTAGTTAACACAGTTAGGGCTTTAAGGTTTGAAAGGCATTCTAATGAGAATGGGGTAACATCCGTTTAGTGACACATATGAGGAAAGGTAAAACTAAAGCGATCAGGAGTCCCTATGCCATTCATGCGACATGGTACTGCCCACAGGATGTAAAAGCATGAGCCACTGAGTGATGGAAATCCAGGCTCCATTTCAGTTGTCATTTTCCTATATCTAAACAGTAATAAGAAAACCTACCCCCAGAGGCATGATGAAGATGAAATGAGATCCTGCATTCATTCAACAAAACACTCCAGAAACACTGACTCTTACCAGTGGCAAGCTGGTAAGGAGGAGATGGCCATGTATAATCTCAAACTTGAATGGTGATTACCAGGAGAGGTGTGGCACCATGAAGATTTCAAAGGAGATCGTGGAGATGGAAAGGCTTTGGAACTTGTAACACTCTAAACTACTATATACTGCTCTTGCAACCATTTCTTATTGCTACTAAAATGAACTGTCACAAATTCAGTGTTATAACTTTAAAACAACTTACATGTTTCAAAATAAAGTATAGGAAATGCAACGAGGTTTTTATTCTTTGTTGGTGTTTTTGTTTTCCTTTCTGTTTGTCTTGTTCATTCTTTTGTCTTTGGGAGGGCAAGGGAGGCATAGAAATGGAGGGACAATGAGTAAGTGCAGCAGTGGTACTCACTAGACACTATGTGGGAAATGAACTATATAACTTATGGGTGGGAATGGGAGGGAAAAACTGAAAGAGAGAGAAGGAAGGGGTGACATTGTCCAAAAAAAATGTACTTTTTTACCTGACTTACATAACTGTAATGCCTCTGTACATCACTTTTATAATAAGTGTATTGTCTTACTATATATATGACGTATGTATAATAAATATAAATGTATTATTTTGCAATTCTGAAAGTCCTAAGTCCTAAATAGATCTTATATAGTCAAAGCTGAATTCTCCTAGGATCTCTTAAGAAATATTTCATCCTATACTTTTTCCAGCTTCTAGAGGCTGCTTACACCCCGTGGCTGTTGGATCCATCACTCTGGCACTTGGTGCCTTTGTCACATCGTTTTTTCTGACCCTGACCTTCTTGCCTTCCTCTAATAAGGTTTCTGTGCTCACATGAATTACTACCAGGTTAATATCACCTCAGCCTCATTCATACTACAAAGTCCCTCTAGAAAATATGGTGATATAGTTACAGGTTCCATTTATTATGTGGACATCATTGAGTGACTGTTGTTTAGTCTGCTGAAGTACCCTTGGGCTAGATGGCAGGAAATAGGCTATCCTTAAAAACCAGTAAGCAGTTGGGTTATCTTTGAATGCCAACTTGCTGGTGGCATCTGTTACATCTAGTAACAAGGGGTGGGGAACAGAGCATCTGAGGGTTGACTGCAGATGGCCCCTTGGAGTACATGGGAGATTCCATCATAACAGACAGGGAACACCAGGCAAGAAAGGAGGGTATTGGCTGCTGTCATCAGCATCTCTGAGTCCCTCTAAATTCCAACGGGAATAAATAGAACTATCCCAACTGCATTCCTCCTTTGCTCTGTCTCTTGTGCTGAAGCCATAGCCTTCCCCAGGCTCTCAGAAACCTTCATTCACTAGCTTGGCAATCATGCCACATGCTTTAGAATCTGCGCTGGAGCGGGATAAAGAAGTCTTTGTTAGGCAGACTATGCAGTTAGTCTCTGAAATTTTCTAAGCCTCAGTTTCCTCTTCTGTCCAGTGGAGACAAGAATGTCTACAGAACCAGGCTGTGAGAAGGCTTAAGCAAGAAGCACAAGATTAGAAGCCAGATACACAGTGGTGTTATTCTTCCCAAGAGGCCTGACCTCCTCTCAGCTCCGTCTTTCACATTCCGCACTTCGCAACACCCGACAATCCACTTGTCTCTGAAGCAGACCTTGAACCTGTGGGAGCATTGCTTGTAATTGTGCCTGCTGTCTCCCACATTCAGACTTGTGCTACCCCTATTCACTCCCAGATCCCTAGTTCCACCTTGCTTCAGGGCAAAGCACCCATCTCAGGGATGCCTAAGAAGCAGAACTCTCCCTCAATCCTGGACAAGAGAGCGGTTCCCCCGAGGTAAGCAGGCTCTTCAGTTCACTGGAAAACCACTTCCCTCCGCTCGTTGTCCGGAGTACATCTGTTGGACGGGAAAGCTCAAGCCTCGTCCAGCGCCGAGCTCTTCCACCGATGAGATTTAATTAAGTGGCAGGGTCCTTCTGGGTCCTTGTACCTCGTCCACCTCTTTGCTCTTCCAAAAGCAGCCACTTGCACGTTCATCTCTGGCCTCCGGGAGCGAACCCTCCGAGAGGGGCGGGCGGTCAGCGCGGCTTTCCTAACGACGCGAGGGGGGCCCTGGACATCTCCAGGGCTGGGGGCGCCGGAAACACGTGTGTGCTCACCTACGTGTACACACGTGAGCACACCTACAGCAGCAGGGGGCTCTGGGGCCGGCAGGGGGCAGCACACACCCGATTTGCAACTGCCCGGCGCAGCCCCGAGGGAGGAGGGCGTGCTGCAGTCCCGGCGGCGGCGGCGGCGGCGGCGGCGGCGGGCTGGAGGTGCAGCCCTCCCA